TAAATATAGGTTACACATAATCACATTACGTCATGTGTTGTCAGGTTGCATATTTCAGTATGGGTGGAATGTTTAACGTATCCATGCACGAGGTTTCTCAAAATACTCCACCACGTGACTAAGCGTGTTACTTGTTTCAGTTGCGTTTATCAGTCACCCGGAAGGCGACATATTGAGTCAAACAGTAGATGATCGTTTCTGTCTCGCGTTCTGATCACACGGTTGTAGCATACAGGTGAGGCTCTGTTTGAGACAGGTAAGACTTGATTACATGACGGCCAAGGGCGACATTCTCATACTCAGTCGTTGTCATAGTGATCGGACTGTTTGGTCCTGCACGGAGCATCGCCATCACATGTAATTGACTTACATGACTGAAATGACGTATTGAGATATTTCGTTAACGAGTGGGTATAGTTTTAAGCCGCGATATACCTGCATCATCACGCTATGGCCTCTACACATTGTATCCCTAGATGGATTCGCACTCGGGCATTTCGGCGTGTTGCGCCAAGCCTTTAAATGCTACCTCATCATCCCGTGCTGCACAATGAGGTGAGGTGAGGTGAAATTGGATTTAACTTCGTGCTTGAGAATATTTCGCTCATATGACGATGTGCCTACGTGTGTGTGTGTATGTGTGGCTGCTTGTACTAGCCCAGACTTAAGCTGGTTTTATAGTGCTAGCCTACAGAGATACCATGCCGCAGTGAAGCATGGATACCCTACTCAGACACATTATACTGACTCCAAGCCGACCAGTCCTTATTGTACCCATTAATGTCGAGCGCCAGGCAGGGACCAACAAGTACCATATTTTAACGTGTTTTGGTATGACGCGGTCAGGGATCGAACCCGCGACTTTCCGCTCTCCGGGCGGACGCTCTAACCACTACACCACGGAGGCGGTTTGCTGTACAATGAACAAGTCTTTAAAGGCAAATACGTAAGGTATGGAGGCTAAACAAAGGGACGTGAGAAGTTATTCAGTGAGTGAGTTTAGTTTTACGCCGCACCCAACAGTATTCCAGCTATGTGGCAGCTGTCTGTAGATAATCGAGTCTGGACCAAACAATCCAGTGATCAACAGCATGACATTGATCTATGCAAATGGGATACGATGATATTGTCAACCAAGTAAGCGATCCTGACCACCCGACCTCGTTAGTTAGATCTTAAAACAAGCTGAATTCCCTCAATGGTAGTCACCTGAGTGAGTGAGTGAGTTTATATTTAACGTCACATTGGCAATATCTCAGTCATATCGTGATATGTGTAATCCCCACTATAATACATGATACGTTTGATCGCTTTCGATAAGGCCTCTTTTCTACATCGTTGAAATAATGCCGATTCGATGGTAAATTGTAGCCCACTCACTCTAAAAGGCCTCGTGTATTCATCCTTAATTTTATATTTCAGAGTTTAAAAAAGTTAGAAGTAATATCTTCCGAAGCGTATGTGTATTATGCTGTAGCTTGCGTAGATGTCTGCCTATTTACACAAGATAATGAAATTTTTAAAACCTAATGCACATTTGTAAACAGGTGATACAAAAAATACTAAACTCGCCACCTTTTTAAAACAATTTTATGCAATCCATGGTGAGTTCTGGTTTTACACTGGAGCTCGCGTGGTGCTCCGAATAAGTAACCCACTTGTGAGCGTCGTGATAGCTCGACCATACACTGAGATCTGAAAAACGTGGACGGTGGACATCATAAGTGGACTTAACAGACATTACCAATGTTGGAAGTCAAACCTAGTTGGGCAAACTAGGTATGCACACCGACCTGAAAGACAGCATGTTTGGACGATGCTATGTTCTTTTGGAATCTGTAACAGTATTAGTTGACAAATGCTTAGCAGATAATATTGATATTGAGCTGAAGTTAGCCTCAAATAATTTTTGTTGATCTTTGATTCGAACCTCTTAGTTAGGTTACACTTGTAGCATTTAACAACCAAATATAGAAAAAAACAATGTTAATCGTGGAATATAGGTTACACTTGTAGCATTTAACAACCAAATATAGAAAAAAACAATGTTAATCGTGGAATATAGGTTACACTTGTAGTATTTAACAACCAAATATAGAAAACAAACAATGTTAATCGTGGAATATAGGTTACACTTGTAGCATTTAACAACCAAATATAGAAAAAAACAATGTTAATCGTGGAATATAGGTTACATTTGTAGCATTTAACAACCAAATATAGATAAACAACCAATTTTAATCGTGGAATATAGGTTACACTTGTAGCATTTAACAACCAAATATAGAAACAAAACAATGTTAATCGTGGAATATAGGTTACACTTGTAGCATTTAACAACCAAATATAGAAAAACAATGTTAATCGTGGAATATAGGTTACACTTGTAGCATTTAACAACCAAATATAGAAACAAACAATGTTAATCGTGGAATATAGGTTACACTTGTAGCATTTAACAACCAAATATAGAATAAAAACAATGTTAATCGTGGAATATAGGTTACATTTGTAGCATTTAACAACCAAATATAGATAAACAACCAATTTTAATCGTGGAATATAAGTTACACTTGTAGCATTTAACAACCAAATGTAGAAAAAAACCAATGTTAATCGTGGAATATAGGTTACATTTGTAGCATTTAACAACCAAATATAGATAAACAACCAATTTTAATCGTGGAACATAGGTTACACTTGTAGCATTTAACAACCAAATATAGAAAAAAAACAATGTTAATCGTTGAATATAGGTTACATTTGTAGCATTTAACAACCAAATATAGAAACAAACAATGTTAATCGTGGAATATAGGTTACACTTGTAGCATTTAACAACCAAATATAGAAAAAAAACCAATGTTAATCGTGGAATATAGGTTACATTTGTAGCATTTAACAACCAAATATAGATAAACAACCAATTTTAATCGTGGAATATAAGTTACACTTGTAGCATTTAACAACCAAATGTAGAAAAAAACCAATGTTAATCGTGGAATATAGGTTACATTTGTAGCATTTAACAACCAAATATAGATAAACAACCAATTTTAATCGTGGAACATAGGTTACACTTGTAGCATTTAACAACCAAATATAGAAAAAAACAATGTTAATCGTTGAATATAGGTTACATTTGTAGCATTTAACAACCAAATATAGAAACAAACAATGTTAATCGTGGAATATAGGTTACACTTGTAGCATTTAACAACCAAATATAGAAAAAAACAATGTTAATCGTGGAATATAGGTTACATTTGTAGCATATAACAACCAAATATAGATAAACAACCAATTTTAATCGTGGAATATAAGTTACACTTGTAGCATTTAACAACCAAATGTAGAAAAAAACCAATGTTAATCGTGGAATATAGGTTACATTTGTAGCATTTAACAACCAAATATAGATAAACAACCAATTTTAATCGTGGAACATAGGTTACACTTGTAGCATTTAACAACCAAATATAGAAAAAAACAATGTTAATCGTGGAATATAGGTTACATTTGTAGCATTTAACAACCAAATATAGAAAAAAACAATGTTAATCGCGGAATATAGGTTACACTTGTAGCATTTAACAACCAAATATAGAAACAAACAATGTTAATCGTGGAATATAGGTTACACTTGTAGCATTTAACAACCAAATATAGAAAAAAACAATGTTAATCGTGGAATATAGGTTACATTTGTAGCATTTAACAACCAAATATAGATAAACACCCAATTTAATCGTGGAATATAAGTTACACTTGTAGCATTTAACAACCAAATGTAGAAAAAAACCAATGTTAATCGTGGAATATAGGTTACATTTGTAGCATTTAACAACCAAATATAGATAAACAACCAATTTTAATCGTGGAACATAGGTTACACTTGTAGCATTTAACAACCAAATATAGAAAAAAACAATGTTAATCGTGGAATATAGGTTACATTTGTAGCATTTAACAACCAAATATAGAAACAAACAATGTTAATCGTGGAATATAGGTTACACTTGTAGCATTTAACAACCAAATATAGATAAACAACCAATTTTAATCGTGGAATATAAGTTACACTTGTAGCATTTAACAACCAAATGTAGAAAAAAAACAATGTTAATCGTGGAATATAGGTTACATTTGTAGCATTTAACAACCAAATATAGATAAACAACCAATTTTAATCGTGGAACATAGGTTACACTTGTAGCATTTAACAACCAAATATAGAAAAAAACAATGTTAATCGTGGAATATAGGTTACATTTGTAGCATTTAACAACCAAATATAGAAACAAACAATGTTAATCGTGGAATATAGGTTACATTTGTAGCATTTAACAACCAAATATAGATAAACAACCAATTTCAATCGTGGAATATAAGTTACACTTGTAGCATTTAACAACCAAATGTAGAAAAAAACCAATGTTAATCGTGGAATATAGGTTACATTTGTAGCATTTAACAACCAAATATAGAAACAAACAATGTTAATCGTGGAATATAGGTTACATTTGTAGCATTTAACAACCAAATATAGAAACAAACAATGTTAATCGTGGAATATAGGTTACAGTTGTAGCATTTAACAACCAAATATAGATAAACAACCAATTTTAATCGTGGAATATAAGTTACACTTGTAGCATTTAACAACCAAATGTAGAAAAAAACCAATGTTAATCGTGGAATATAGGTTACATTTGTAGCATTTAACAACCAAATATAGATAAACAACCAATTTTAATCGTGGAACATAGGTTACACTTGTAGCATTTAACAACCAAATATAGAAAAAAAACAATGTTAATCGTGGAATATAGGTTACACTTGTAGCATTTAACAACTAAATATAGAAAAAACCAATGTTAATCGCGGAATATAGGTTACACTTGTAGCATTTAACAACCAAATATAGAAAAAGACAATGTTAATCGTTGAATATAGGTTACAGTATGTGCAGATAAACAATACTGTATTCCTTTCTTCAGGATGAAAACTTCACCACCAAAACAAGAAAGCAGAACTAAATCCGAAGGTCAGCAGAATGGACAAGAAAGGCTTTGATGAAGACCGTTACAGACACGAGTCTACCATGGGTACAATGCAAGATGAGGATGGCGCCACACAGCGGATGCAAGATGATCCTGGAGATGATGACAAGGACGACGTCTTCTCCCGACCACAAGGAGATACATCCTCTAGTTACCCGAGTCAGCATGGAGGCTCCGTCGGTTCTGTTGCTTCAGAGACGTCAGTACCGGACGCTGCAAATGACGTTAACATTGACTTGACCGTGAACAAGAAATGGAAAGTGGACGAGAAGCTTGATGCAAAGATGCTTGCGTCTAGCAGACCAACAATACTGGTGCCCATCGCTAAGTGGATATGTACAATTCTCCTGGGACTAGGTGTGCTGGGGTGTGTCGGAGCTAGCAAGTGGTCAGTCATCGGTCTAGCAGCTAATATGAACACAACTAGTACCGCCCAAAAAACAATTAAAAGAAACAGCCATATTTTTGTGATGATATCTCTTATAATGCTGGTGCCATACTGTATCAACTTTCTCAGAGCTGCGTTCCTGGCATCGTGTCGGAAGGACATGCTGTGGCCAAACAGAACGGCTGTGATAACAGTGAGTATTAGAACACGTCATCATTAATAAAGAGTGATTCAGTCAGAAATGTTCCACTTCAATCAGCGCCTGCTAAAAGTGAGCCACAACAAGAGCGCGGGGGGACACAAGAAATGGGCTGTTCCATGTGAGGAATCGAACAAGGGTCTTCTTTGTGACGTGTGAATGCTTCAACTAATCGGTTACCGTGAATAAATGTCATAATTCTACACTTGTCGGAAGAGGCGACTAACGGGATCGGGTGGCCAGGCTCGGTAAGTTGGTTGACACATGCCATCGGTTCCCAATTGCGCAGATCGATGCTCATGCTGTTGATCACTGGATTGTCTGGTACAGACTCGATTATTTACAGACCGCCGCCATATAGCTGGAATATTGCTAAGTGCGGCGTAAAACTAAACTCACTCACTATGACAGTTGGCATATACAAATAGTAAATGCCTTTGACGTTGCAATATTAAATCGACATAAACGGACACTTGCTGATATATAGCAGGTACAAACAATTTCTTTCTACAACTGAACACCAACAGGTTTGGAGTATCGGAACGTGCTGTGTATCTGTATTTATTTCTTCTTTCAGGGAGTTATAGTTGCTGTGCTGGAATCATTTGGAGTGTGTTTGTTTGCTTTGAAGATTTTGATCAACTTTGACGGGTTTGTGGTGATACTCCTCATGAACACAGTGTTTGTCGTGCCATTCATAGTCACCACAGTGTTTAACATCAAGCAGAGAACAGACCGTAAAGGGGGTAAGCTGCTGATGTTGACCTCCGCGGTGGCATCTGTGCTTCAGGTTGCTGGTGTTGCGTTAGTTGTTTACCTTGTTTTACAACAAAAGACTGGTGAAGTATGGCATGTGCCAGTTGCCCTCGTCTGTGTCACTGTAGCCTGGGTTCCTCAACTACAAGAACTGACCGTTAAACACAGACAGGAAAGTGAAGTAGACGACACCGTCATCGACTTTGGAAGCCACTGGGCTACTGCTAGTACTGCTTACGATACGTGTGAAAGAAATTCCCAGTCCAGCAGTACTCCGACAACCCCGAGCCCAATTGAGGATCCGAATGTTGAAGGAACCCGTGACCCGAAGCCGAATGTCTCTAATGTCCTTAGTACAAAGTGGAAGATGGCTGTCATATCCAACTTCGTGAAAGTCGTGGGTGTGGTGCTTTTCAGCTACTTGTTGTTCTATGTTGATTGTAGCTTTAATAGCAAGGTGACATGCAGAAACCTGACCAATGCCTTCCCTCAGTCATGGAACCTTGAAGAAGATTCTGACAGTTTCCACTATTTCTTGGTAAACTTGCTCACAACATTTGGGAGGGTATGCTCTTTCAATCTTTGCATGCCAAATTGCTAGCCAAAAAATGGGCTTTTGCTCTCCCCATGTGTTTTACTGGGCCTATCCTCCTAGTTTTGATGTTGGAGAAAGACTGGTGTATTGTTGTGTTTGCCTACTCCCCGGGGATGTGTGTGGCCGCGAATGGGCATCTGTGGGCTGTTGTTTCGTCCATAGTGTGTTTTGTCCTAGCTCATCTCCTGGGTGCAACATTGCCGATTTTCAGAAGTAAGTCCAGTGCCCTACAGAGCGAATCGTCGGTAAGTATTGTGTTAAAGAAGATAATAATGATAATATGGTGTTGAACAAACCTATGAATAAGAACTTGTTTTATTACCCACGAGGGTGAACATAGCGGGGTTCATATTTCATACGATGACCTAGGGCAAAATATCACTTTGTCATGGTGACGTGACGTCATGGACAAATCTGTGACGTCGTGTTTCATCCATGACGTTGCATTCTACATGCGGCGACAACCGGTAGCCAGCCTATGTTTGAAAGTAGATTTGGGTTTATTTTCCTCAATTTGACGACTTCGGTAATAAATAGAGCATTATATTCGTGCCAATATCATACTATGTTTACATAGTATGACATGGGCACTCATATTTCGTGAGTGCGACGTTTCGCTACAGACCCTTCTACCATAATAAACAGTTTCTGTATCGACAATTCGCACTCAGCAAACAAGGGAAGTTGTTATCCATACGGTTTGTTCAATATTGTACGTCCCAACTTCTAAAATGCCACTCAAAGAAGAAGGATATCAGTATGTTAATTATTTTGAGTAGACATGTTCTGTTTAGTTTGTTTGTGTTTAAACGCGGCACCAAGACATATTCGAACTATGTGACGGCGGTCTGTACATAATTGAGACTGGACCACCCAGTGATCAACATCATGAGCAGCGTTCCACTCATTTGGGATACGATGACATGTGTCAGCCCAGTCAGCCAGCTTGACCAACCGATCACGTTAAAACTAAACCGGATACATAAGATACACCCGATCATAAGTGTTAACCATATCAGTGCACATTGTGAAATGATGTTGTTTTAAGACGTTGGCGAACAGGTCATTTTTATTTTACCCATTCTTTCCTCTTAAAGGGCAACGATGTGGTTGTTGTCTCATGCAAGTTGCAAGCATCAGTTCTCGTCTCAAAGTACACCCGCTCTACACTTTCTGTTCAAAATAGTCAAAATAATCCATTTTACATTTGCGTTTATGCCTTAAACTGAGATAATAGTTTGACAGAAAGTGAAACATGTACAATGTCATAAACATTGGAACGATATTGTTACATATGTTATATATATTTGGGATTGCACTTTCTAAATTAAGTACAAATTCTAGCCCCATCCGGGATTCGAATCCATACTCGTAGAGTCAGGCGCCTAATCGCCAGCACACAAAGTCAGCAATCGAACCCACTCTGCCATCGCGGCTGAAATGATATTGTTTTCAGATCGAGCACACATATTTCTATTTATCGAATTAACATTTTCAGATATTCTGGCTGCCATCCTACAATGGAGTTCTGCTGGAGCAGTGGTTGATCCTCAACAAGCAGACAGGATCACGTGACCCACTAGGACCTGCGTGTCGTCCAACCGACTCGAGGAGTCGAGTGTACATATGTACCACCATGTACAGAGAGGTAGATGCGTTGTGAATTTATCGTTGATGTTTGTAGATAAATGTTTGTTTTGTTTGTTGTATTATGCCGCACTCAGCTACATTCCAGCTACAAGACAGCAGTCTGTAAACAATCGAGTCTGGACCAGACAATCCAGTGATCAACAACATGACTGGTTGGTTGGGTGTTCCGATGTTTATCGCCGAACTAATTTGACTTCATGCGGTCTGTAAACAATCTAGTCTGGACCAGACAATTCAGTGATCAACAACATGACTGGTTGGTTGGGTGTTTTGTTGTTTATCGCCGAACTAAGCAATATTCCACCTATTTGACTTCATGCAGTCTGTAAATGGTCGAGCCTGAACCTACGCAAATCGATCTACTCAGTTGGGATACGATGATATGTGTTAACCAAGTCAGCGAGCCTGGCCACTCGATCCCTATAATCGCCTCTTATGACAAGCATGGGTTGCTATGTGAGTCAATGGGTTACATATTGTATTAGTAGAAGATACCGGTGTTAAGCGAGCTTGAAGTAAAAGAGGCGTTAGATGTTAACCTTTTCGGTGAAATCCTTCAGAAGACAAGTTCAGAACGATTCAGGAGTTTGAACCACAAACATTAGGGACGCATCCCTTCACAGGCATTAGTCACACTGGTACACGGTACTGTTTCCTTTTACGGTCGGTGAAATTATTTCAACTCAATTGTTCTTTAATGATTGTATTTAATCATTGAGGCCACCGTATCAAAATTGATGGATGCTCAAGTTGTTGATCACTAAATCTTCTGTTCCAGATTCGATCATTTACAGACCGCTGCCACTTGAGTGATTATTTTACCGTAATGTTAATGACGGCATAGGAAAAACAGACTCTAAACAGAATAAAGACAACATATGTCCCAACAATCGTTTTGTTTGTATGTTGTTTAACTCACTCACACATATCTACAACTGTTCTCGTTGTCGGTTTCCATTCTGTAGTTGCAATTTTCCCCTACCTTTCCAGAATGAAGTGGAGATGCGCCAACTTCTACAGTCCATCAATAAAATAAACTTGGCGCGAACTGATAACGAGAAGTTCTTCGAGTCTCACGTGATCTTCGACGGCGGAATTCGGAACAAAAATATCTCTGAGTTTGCCTTACAACTCCTGACATTGCTCAAGGAAACACTAGGTTCGTGTACTGTACAATTTGTTGTGTGTATATCACGGGCGTTATTACTCCATTAGCATACATTTATTACGATCTAACTTCACTAATTTCACAGTATTTAGTGCTAATGTAAGTATTGCGCTTGTTGTATTAATGAACTTGGGACAATTACTTTGTTTAGAGAATTCTGGTTTCACGACTACGGTCCATTTGATTTCATCTGAGACCGATGAACTGATCACTAACACAAAATCAAATAAATTTGCAGCCAGAACCAATTTTGTTCGCTGTCTGTAAATAATCACGTCAAAACCAGACAATCCAGTGATTGATAGCACGAGCATCGACCTGCACAGTTTGGATACGGTCACCTGCAGTACCGAGGTTGATAACCCGACCCCTTAATCGCCTTTTCCGACAAGCATGAATTGCTGAAGATCAATCTTGCTACGATGTTACTGTAATACTTAGTATACAGTGTATTCTTGTTTTATTCCCCATTAATGCATTTACAGTGAGTGAGTGAGTGAGTAGGGTCTTTTGTTTTCTTTGTAATCGCACACCTCCATACCTTCAGGTATCCTGACGGACAACTGCACGAAGGTGGAGACGCCATATGGGATGAAGTTGAGCTGGAACCTGCCACAATCGTCTTCAAATGTCAGACCAATGACGTTTAACATACATCTAAAGGATGGGCTGAAGGTCAGCGAATTGATATCACATGAATCTGAGCCGTGGACTAGTGAAAACTCAGACCTTTGTTTAATACAACGTTCTTGGTGTAAAATGTGACACGACCATTTTGGTGCCATGATATAGCTAAAGTAGGGCCAATTCACTCACATGTGTTGTGACAAACGTTCTCTGATAACAATATGTGGATGGACAATTTCAACATTAAAGCCAGAGCGACGTTTCGGTGTAGGTTCCAGCACCGTTATCAAACAAGTTATGAACGGAATAAGGATTGAGGCACACACACATAAGTGTGAGGAGGTGTTCATACCATAAGGGGACTAGTACCTACACAGAAACACCTCTCTCTCTATTTTTATATATTTTAGCTCCCCAAACCTCGAAATGTAAATCACCTTGAAAGCTCTAGGGGTCTCAAACCTCAAAATTGTAGTACCTTGAAAATTTCCCGGTATACGGTAATATTCCTTCTTATAATGGCACAGGTGGAATTGTATAAAGATGGTGTAATGACTGAAGAGGCATAAGTAAGGATTCGCATTAGTGAACATTTGTACGTAAAATATGTTATATTTAGGATTACTCGTCATTCATATATTTATTTCCGGTACTGAAAGGCCACAGGCCTGTAGTACAATACATTTATAAATCAATATTTACACACACGGATAATATACATGAAGAAGGGAAAATAATCAACTTTAGGTTACATTGTGTTCTGAGATATGTTCTGTCCTAAACAACATGGCATAGTAAACAAACATGGACAAGTTTTGAAGTATAGTATGGGTTTTGTTATTCAACAATGCTGAGAATTTATAAAGGTTTGGATGGGCACAATAATATTTCTTAATATACAACTTTCTAATGGAATTATAAGCAGGGCAAATTAAAAGAAAATGATATTCATATTCTATTTGGTTAAGATCACATACTTTGCAAGTTCTATTTTCTATTTTGACATTTTTAAATCTTCCACTTTCGATAGATAAATCATGGTGAAGAACATCTCAGTCTGCTTAACGCTATCCTATACTTTTTTACGTTTAGACATGAAAGATAAGTTTCGGAGTTTAAAGTACATTTAAACATCTTATAATACAGACATTTACTGGAAAGTGATATCTTTTCAAACCATTCTTGCAAATAGATATCTTTTAATCTTTGTGTTAGTTCTAGAATAAACTTACCCTCAGAATCAACATACTGATCGTTCCATACAAAACCAAACCCTTTAGAGAATAGAAAATGTCTAACAGCAGAAACCCAATTTGTGTGTCCATTTTTATCGAATAGCATCATCATATTGTAACATTTCTTTGGTAGCCCGTAAGAAGGCATCTTCAGTAATTTTAACCAGTATTTTATAACTCTGATATTTGTAAATAAGTGCATCGGGTATTTACCACATTCTCCATACACCATTGTATTCATCGTATTGGATTTAACACCAAGAAATCTTTTACATGCTTTCAATTTAACTCTTTCAATATCACTGTAATAATTCAAACCCCATATTTCGGCTCCATACAATAAAATTGGCTTAATTATGGCATCAAATATTTTAAAGTATGAACTTATATTTATGTCACCAAGTACATTTAATTGTTTAAAGATACCTATCATGACCTTTTGTGCTTGCAAACAATTAACATGTGTTGTCCAAGATAAACAATTACTAAAGAACATTCCCAAATATTTGTAGGAACTTGTGCATTCTAATTCTTTACCTTTATACAACCATTTCTCGTCTTTTGATAAACGTCCCCCTTTTTTAAAAACTATTACTTTAGTTTTATTTCTATTTACAGCTAATTTGTACTGGTCACAATAATTCTCAAGTTCTTGTATAAGTCTTTGTAAACCTGCAACAGTGCCTGAGAATAGCACCATATCGTCTGCAAAAAGCAGAAGAAAAATATGTACTAGGTCAAGGTGTAACTGTATTCCATACTCACAATTGTTTTCATTTTTGGTTGCTAATTCATTTATGAAAAATGAGAATAAAAATGGGCTAAGTGTGCAGCCTAGTCTTACCCCGATTTGTAGTTCAAACGAATCTGAGAATTCATTGTTATTCTTAACGAAAGCTTTAACATTTTCATATATATTATGAATCTTTTTTTTCATTTAAGGACTTAGACCATGGGTATTAAAAATAGACCATAGCTTTTGTCTATCAACTGAATCAAATGCGTTTTCGAAACCAACGAAACGTGTATAGAGTTTACCACCTTTGATGTTGAGGTATCTCTGTATAATACTTTGTAATATAAACATATTGTCAGTAGTCGTATATCCATGTCTAAAACCTGCCTGAGATTCATTTATTTTATTCAATGTCTCTCCCCAAGTTACTAATCTTCTGTTAATGATAGAAGTGAAAACCTTACTAAAAATACTCAAAGGAGTAATGCCTCTTTAGTTATTTGGGTTATCGATACTTCCTTGTTTATGGAGCGGGACAATAATGCCGATTGTCCAACAAATTGGAAAACTACCATTTTCTAATATTATATTGGATGATAATTCTAAATATGGTGCTAAAATATCTACCGAATTCTTAATTAACTCGGGTATTACGTCATCAATACCTGGTGATTTATCGGGTTTTAAGCATTTAATACTGTCCAGAATCTCGTCCCTACTAATAGGAGAGTCCAGCATATCCTCTGTTAGCGCAAAATTAGGGTCAGGAGACGTTGATGGATTTGCGTCGTCAACAAAGTTATCAGTATTATTATCCGTTTCTAAGTTGAGAAGATTTCTAAAATGTTGATGCCACTCATTCTTACTAATATTGTTTTTTTGCTACGATAGAAGTGTTCAAAGTTTTCAGTTTAAGCCAAAACATTTCTGACTCCCATATGCTATTTTCTATGTCTAACCGCTTTTCTTTAAAGTAATCAAGTCGCTTTTGTTTACATACTACATTATATTCATTTCTTATCTGACAATATTCTTCAAATGACCTCTTATCTTTCGATTTTCTAAACTTATTTAATAGCTTACAACGTTTAGTTTTAAGTTTCTCACATGCACTATCATACCATTTGTTTGATAGTTTCTTTGATGTACCAAATTTTCTTTTCATATTTTCCGCAGCTAAACAGAGAGCATTAGTGACATATTTAATGCTGTCATAAATGTTTGTGAATGTATTATCAACTGATTTATCAAGTAATGATTGAACATGATCCGAAAACAGATTCTCTCTAAATTGTTCAGCTTTATCGTTTTCCCAGAAGAACCTATAAGCATTATTTGGATGTGTGTCACACCCGTCAGAATATCTAACATGATCTGTCTTTACTGATAGTGTTATTGGTAAATGATCTGACTCGATACGAGAGTGTATGCTAAAAGCAACAATAAAGTCAAATAATATCGATGATGAGATAATGTAATCTATTAGGCTTGTTCCATTATTGCCTATATACGTAAAATCCCCAGTTTCTACTCTTTCTTAGTAAAGTACAGATTCGGCTGGTTCGAATCCCGCATGAGACTCAACCCCCTAAAAGTATTGGATTTCCTACTTTACTAAAAAAGCGTTATCCCAAATATAACATATGTTACATTTGGCCACTTTCTAAAATGGCATTGTGTAATCATAGCATTTGTACGGTTAAACTTCGTCAGCGCGGTCAGTATTTAGAGGAATTGTTTAGTATTATTACTTCTAACATATGTAATATTTGGGATTACACTTTATCATTAAAGTACAAATTCTAGTACTTTTTGAGTTGAGCCCCATCTGCGATTCGAACTCACACCCTCAGAGTCAGGCACCTAATCGCCAGCACACAAAGTCAGCCGCCTAACCCGCTCAGCTACCGGGTTAGGAGGTCTGTAAATAATCGAGTCTGGACGAGACAATCCACTTATCAACAATTGGGAACCGATGACAAGCGTTAAATAAGTCAGCGAGCCTGACCACCCGACCCCGTTAGTCGCCTTTTACGACAAGCATGGGATACTTAAGATCAATATTCTAACCCGGGCCTTCACGGGTACATCGGGTGTAGAGGGGGTCAGGGCATGATCATGGTGCAGTCATCGATATTTGCCAATATTTGTTCTCTACACCAGATGGAATCAGTCTCAGTACAAGACGTCTTGGTCTTCTGCATTGACATTTATATCTATGTTGAACGCAATGCATCTACACCTTTTTTAGAATATTTGAAATTGTTTTAAATTTTCAGCACTTACTGTTGCACTTTCAGGTTCGAAACAAGAAGCGATGGAGTCAAATCATGTACATGTCCTACGTCATCGACTTCCTGATGACCTGTAAGTGACCACCGTTATTTAAGAAGGGCTCAGCAGAAACACATATGACAAATGTAAATGCAACATGTGAAAGTTTCGGCCTTGAATTCATTTGGAACCGACGCTTTCAAATGAAATGTTCCCGTGCTTCAAATACTCAATAACACCCGGACATTGGCCAACACATGATGTTTATCGACATTGTAAGCACAAAAGTAAACCAAAAGGTCGACACACGTTTTTGTGTTTGCACTCATTGACATCGAGTACGGGTACAGCAGTGAAATGTCAGCCGATCGTTTCGGCTGTCTCCCATGGTAGCATCTGGAACAGCTAATTTGTGACGTCATTCGGACTTTACGTCACAATATGATTTGATGACGTCACCACTGCTGACAACGTAACAATACAATGGTGTATGCGATGTTTGTACGTATTAATACGCAGCGAATGGTCTTGCAATTTCCGGGAATCGAATACCATGCAATCATATTTTTCATCCAATCAGATTAAAGAACACAGTGAAGTTTGGTTTACAATGTTCTATGAATAACGTTTGTATTTACTCAGATAAGGTTTTGGGACCGATATCGTATTTCTGGTACCGACGTTAAGGTATCCGTTATGGTATTTGATACTCATACCTTTTGTTAATCGTGGAATCTCGGCTTTTAGCACAAATTTCTTATAGATATGGAAAGGTAAGGGTTATGTCCCTTATACTTAATACAAGTAACTTCTAAGTGGACATCACTGTACGTAGGAATACAATAGTAGAATGAATCCCATGATCGATGGAAACTATTGAGAAACCATTTCAGCTAGAAGTTTGGTTTATGTCACCAGCGAATGATGAAGACTGCTACATTCTTACAACTGACGCTGACGTCAAGTTCACGCCGGAATCGGTGGAGGCGCTTCTGGATCTCATGACACGTGATCGCTCCGTTGGTGCAGTATGCGCACGCACCCACCCTATGGGAAGTGGACCTCTTGTATGGTATCAAGTGTTCGAGTACGCAATAGGACACTGGTTCCAGAAGGTTTGTACCTGTTTAATTCTTACGTTTATAATAGTGGAATACAAGCTGACATCCAATCAGGAATATGAAGTGAAATCGAAATCAGATTACTTTTAAAACACATGACTGTCGTTCTGTGTGAAGAGCAATAACATCCAAAATATATGCTTCAAAGCAAAAGATTGCATGCAAAATAACTTCATTAAACATAACACATGACCTTCGTTTTATGGTGGCTTGCTTTGATGAGAAGGTCACAGTCATACTGACCTCAAAATACTTGCCTGGAACAGAACGTTACAGACATAATAAGTTCATACCTCAAATTCATTGATAATCGTTATATGTTTGCTTGAACTGACCATTCTGTTGAAACACACTGAACTTCCAGTGGTTTCTTAGATCTATTGTAGTTATCCATTTTGGTCCCTCTATATTTCTAGGCAGCAGAACATGTTCTGGGGTCGGTGCTGTGTGCTCCGGGATGTTTCAGTGTGTACCGCTGTGTCGCCCTCAAGGAGATCCTCACAGTATACTCCACCAATGTGGAACATGCGTTTGATTTCCTTATTAAAGACATGGGAGAGGATCGCTGGCTGTGTACACTCATGGTGAGCATGTGTTGTACATATACCTAGGCCTTGTACGAAACATCTTACTGACTTAAAGTTTAAATCCTTGGTGAGGAAAATTGAGTCCTATATCACCCAGGTTGATAACCGTGCAATCATCGTCATTGACAAGTCGCTTGTTAAGACAAACCAGTCGTTATGGGTAAAGTTGAATTTGAATACAATCGTCAGTTTGGGGATGCTAAAAGAGATACCCGTGGAGATCCGGGTTATACTGGGCCGCGTTTCACAAAGCTCTGGTAAGCCTAATATCTCGTAACTTCCCTCGTAGCATTCCGACCTCCTATACTGTAACACTAACTTACGATGATCGTAGCGCTAAGAGAGCTTTGTGAAACGGGGCCCAGGTCTGCAGCAATCCATGCTTGTCGAAAGAGGCAACTAAGGGGATCGGATGGTCAGGCTCGCTGACTTGGTTGGCACATGTCATCGTATCCCAATTGTGTAGATCGATCACTGTTGACCACTCCATTATTTGACAAGACGCCATATAGGTGGAACAGAATGAGTGAGGCGTTAAACAACAAACAAAAAGTCTCTTGAAATGTCCTAACTGGGAAGCACTGCCAAGTGTGGTGCGCACACACGCATCATACATCCCTGGTATGCGTATCCTGCCATCCATACATGTACTTGCCAGACAAGCCAAAATCAACCAGCCAACCAACCAACCAAAACAGATTTAGTTGTGGGAGGGCCACAAGAAACAAGTCGTAAACACAAAAATACCTCCGCATATGAAACAAATTTGAAGTTAAATTTATTTACCTAAATGTATTTTTAGTCCAAATAATTCTTTTCAACCTCCTAGACAACAAATAATAAACCTCGAACTGCAAAACAATGATAAATGCTTTTGTTTCAGCCAACAACACCCATTAAATAATGTTTAACATTTACATGTGTTATAGTCAGCTCGATCTACATATTTGCAAAAAAAACCACCTTGTCATTGTTCAATTCATGTTAAAGCGTAGAAACTGACTCGCTCATACAAGACGTCTCTATTTTAGGTTCAGAGTGGCTGGAGAATTGAGTACTGCGCAGCTTCAGAGAACTCCACGCACTGTCCTAGTGACTTTGAGGAGTTCTACAAACAGCGTCGACGTTGGATCGCCTCCACCATTGCCAACCTGATGCTGCTGATCAAACAGTGGCAGATCATTCGGCTGTTCAACCATCGCGTGTCACTGCTATTCGTCGCCTACCAGGGGGCGTTGCTCTTCTCTACTCTGATTGGTCCGAGCACGGTCATCTTGATCGTTTCCGGTAGGTCTCAACTGATGTTTATTGATACAATCTAATGAAATGTGTCAAACAAGTCAGCGAGCCTGACCACCTGATCCATATTCTAAAATTACAAAATTATGTAAATTAAACATTACTTATCAAGTTTATTATGATTAAAAGATATTTTAGTGTCTTCACTATTTTATCAATCGTCGCTTTTATTAATACTCCTGCAGTGTCACGACGGGGATACCATATACGGCTTAACACATTGTACCCATGTTGGCAAGCGAACCCGGGTCTTCGCTTTAACCTTTAGGCAACCCTAAATCAATGATGGAACTGATGTTTCAAGTACAGAAATGCAACCAAGTATATGTGTATGTGCGTGTGCGTGTGCGTGTGCGTGTGAGTGTGAGTGTGAATGTGAATGTGAGTGTGAGTGAGTGAGTGAGTTTAGTTTTACGCCGCTTTTAGCAATATTCCAGCCATATCAAGGCCGGGGACACCGGAAATGGGCTTTACACATTGCATCCATGTGGGGATTCGAGCCCAGGTCTTCGGCGTGACGAGCGAAAGCTTTAACCACTTGGCTACCCTACCGCTCCTCGTGTGCATATACATGTATATGTTGCTAATACATTTACAACAATAACTATACATTTTGATACGCACTTTACCTTTGAATGTTCGTTAAGGTTGGAAAAGATGGAAGATGGAAGTTTCAAACGATGGGGAAAAAAAGAAATGCAACCAGGTGTAATTAATGCTCTATTGGTGACGTTTGTTTTTTAGGTGGTTTGACCTATGGCTGGGGCGTCGACTCTGTGGCGTCAGTCATCATTCAGCTGCTTATATGTGTGGCCTTTGCACTCACCTGTCTCTACACATCAGACAAGACTCAGATGCTGGTATACCACTGTTATAGTTATCAGATCCATCGGTGTCGAAAGCATCTCTCTGTTTAGTCTTGTTATTGGCAAATTAACTTGGAATGGAAACAAAGTACATCTCTTTGTATAATCTTGTTATTATCAAATTAATCTGGAGTGAAAACAAAGTACATCTGTCTGTTTAATCTTTTTATTATCAGGTTAATCGCGACTGAAAACAAATGCATATGTCTGTTTAATCCTAATACTGGTCAACTATTAGTCATGGTTCGTGCATTACAGATTGCAAAGTTGCTGACTTTCTTCTACGCTGTTGTCATGACAGCTGCATTTGTGGGGACGGCCCAGCAGATTGTGGACGACCTGGAGAGACCCACTGAAAAACACGATACGAACGGCAGCACTACCGTCAACCCGGTCAGGCCATCAGGTCACAAACAGTACTGATATATATGGTTTTGATTAAAGATACACGATTAACTGTACGTTTAATCGCCGTGTACTGAGATATAATTAACACAATCAAGGAAAGTGGCAGGGATCACCCTCTTGACATGATCATTACCTCATACTGTGCACATGTCACGAAAGACTGGCCAAAGAACATGGGTTGTAAAGGAGTACATTTAGTGACACTTAAAGCAACCCGTAAAGATGCGGTTATAATTTATCGTCACCAACCCATGCTTGTCGTAAGAGGCGACTAACTGGATCAGGTGGTCAGGCTCGCTGACCTGGTTAACACATGTCATCGCATCCTAACTGCGTAGATCGATGCTTATGCTGTTGATCATTGGATTATCTGGTCCAGACTCGATTATTTACAGACCACTGCAAATATAGCTGGAATATTGCTGAGTGTCGCGTTAAACAACAAACAAACAAACAAAACAAACAAACGATTTCTGAGCTCAGAGTGAGTGAGTTTAGTTTTACGCCGCACTCAGCAATATTCCAGCTATATGGCGGCGGTCTGTAAATAATCGAGTCTCGACCAGACAATCCAGTGATCAACAGCATGAGCATCGATCTGCGCAATTGGGAACGATGACATGTCAGCGAGCCTGACCACCCGATCCCGTTAGTCGCCTCTTATGACAAGCATAGTCGCCTTTTACAAAAGCATGGGTTACTGAAGACCAATTCTAACCCGGGACCTTCACGGGTCTCTGAGGTCAGAACAGGTTGGTAACCTATTGAATATCATAACCTCTTGTGTAGCAACAAACAAGCAAACAAAACACACGAAGCAGGTATTTCCAAATATGTCATCAGAGACATGTCTTCATGGTCAAATAATGCTTTGTTCTAGACGTCAGTATCGACTTCCCCGTGTCTGTGACGACGATTTACTTCGCGACAATGGCTGGTATTTATATCCTTGCTGGTTTGCTGCATCCCAGGGAGTTCTACTGCCTCATCAACTCTCTCTGGTATCTCCTGTGTCTTCCGTCCGGGTACCTCATACTCGTGATCTACAGCTTGTGCAACATCACCGACAGGAGCTGGGGTAGGTAGCATATGTAAAGGGTGGTTGGTTGGTTGGTTTTTTGTTTAACGCCTCACTCAGCAATTTTCCAGCTGTATGGCGACAGCCAGTAAATAATCGAATCTGGACCAGAAACTCCTCTATTGTCCTCAAGGGTATTACATTGTTGGTCCAGAAGGTAAAACGTTGCTGAATGTGGGAGTTCCCACATCATCACGGCGGGGGACACCTGAAATGGGCTTCACACATTGCACCCAAATTAGGAATAAAACCCGGGTCTTCGACGTGACGAGCGAACGCTTTAACCTCTAGGCTACCTCACTGCCCCTGATGCGGAAGTAAGGTGCCTTGACTATGCCAGATACGACGAGTGTGTGTTATAATTCATCAATACTTTATACAACCTTGTAAAGGCCTGAATTACTTGGGGTTTTGATTCATAGACGCTGACCTGCGATGAGCGAATGAGTGAGTGTGTTTGTACGCCGCTTTTAGCAATATTCCCGGAACATCACGGCGGGGGACAGCAGTAATGGGCTTCACTGACCCGATATGAGATGAAGAAGTCGTATTAAAATCTTCCATGAAAATACTTGATTTTGATAGGTCTGATGTGTCGAACATATACACTGAGAAAGTGGATCGTTAAACACAAATCGATCACTAGATTTTCTCGCCTGACTCGATTAATACAGGCCTCCCCATGTTGCTGCAGTATTATTTGGTGCGTCGTAAAACAACGTTAACCACAAATCGATCACTGGATTATCTTGCCTTACTAGATTATTACAGGCCTCGCCATATTGCTGCAGTATTACTAGGCGCGTCGTAAAACAACTGTTTCCTTGTTCACAGGAACCCGCGAGGAAAAGACAGCTGAGACGTCAGTAAAAAGCGAGCCTTGGTACACCAAAGTGAGACAATTGCTGGAAAATATATTCTTGTAAGTACATAATGCAGAATGAACTAAACATGTATTGATGCAGAGCTCCATGCCCACAGGTTCATGCGGCCAGCACACTCGTCACATATTACATAATTTAATGAAGGTATTGCAGATGATTTTAACCTGTATCATTTTGGATGAATATGCATCTTGTGATAAAAATCATGAATGAAAAGGTTAACGTCCAATGAGAAAACAAAAACATACTGAAAGGTGAAAAACAATATCCACATCCTTGCCCTATATCTCCAGGTCGAAAACCTACGATAACTGGGGATGCAAACATTTTGATATCTGTACGAGTTTATAACCGTGTATGCTCACAGAAAAGAAAACAGTTTGGTCACATGACACACTAATTAGAATATCGCGGTAAAGTTGAAATGATTACTGTACCTGAGTGTGGTTCGATAAAAAGAAATCGTGCAACGACTCGTTTGGATATATATAAATTGAACTGTTAAAAAGCACCCCCAAAACAACAACAAAAACCAAAAACAAAAACACCCAAACAAACAACAAACAACCCCCAAAAAACAACAACAAAACAAACAACAAAACAAAAACAACAAAACAAAACAAAACAAAAAACAGGGGGGAAAAAGAGAAAAACAAACCGAAAATATACCCAAACAACAAACGTACCAAAAAAGCCACCAAACAAGCAAAACAACAACGGCAATGAAAATACACAAATAACAACAATACTATTCCCAACAAAACTACTTCTTTGAGTGTCATTTTGAGAAGTTAGAGAGTCAGATAAGCACAAACTTTATGGATGAACAACTTCTTTATTCAGGTAATGCGATGATACAGATTCTGGTATCGTTGTCAAGCAGGTATATAGGTATACCTGACAACAATACAATAACCTGTTTCTCCTAACTCAACAAATCTAGTTCTGCTCTCACGGACATGTTGCAAGTGAAAGCACAACTACTTGTTAGCCGGGGAAATGAATTATGCCCAAAAGCCTTCATGAACCCCCCCCCCCCCACACACACACACACACACACACAAAAAAGAAAAAGGAAAAAAAGAAGTAAAATCCATTCTTTTTCTATTCTAGAGAATTAACTCTTTGTCTTTATAATTGTAAATAAACTATAAATTTGAAAGTATTTTTCTATGCTGCAGTCTATATTGGAGTATATCGGACGGGTACATATGTGGCTGTATTTACGTTTATAGATCTGTATGTTTTGTAGTTGCTGCCCACCTCGGGACAAACCAGTTGAGCACACCCCCGACGCACCCCTCACTTATAGACGGATGTCAAGTGAAGACCTTAGAATATCAGCTTACCCCGACAGCCACGACTTTGTGTTTGATGACGGAGGAGGTACTAATCCATGTCTTTTAGCTCTTTTGTTCTCGGTGACCTGTAAACCAGAGATGCAAACCCTCCCGAATTTATCGGAATAAACCCGAAAAATGCATGTCGATTCCGCCATTCCGACAAGCCAAATTCATTCCGATTTATTTCAAAATACAACGAAGATATTGATAGTCTTACTTACTGAAGGCCTAGGATCATCTTTGACTTTAAATAATGACAATTAAATAAAAATAACACTTTATTTTACAGAACTTCTCAAATTGTTTACACAAGAAAGTAATCCGGAAGTTCAGTAGGCTGAGAAATTCCACTCACTGTTTATTTTATTCACTTAACATTCACAAACACTGCTGCCGAATACCGGTTTCAGTTGTATAAGGATCACTATGTGTAATAGCATTGAAAAGTTTCGTTCCTTGAGTGCACCAATTTATAGGGATCACTGTGAGTCTACAAGTGGATGGATGGGTTCATCAGCATTGTGGAGAGGTGTAGTGGCCGACTGGTTAAAGAATTCAGTCGTCACGCTGAAAACCCTGGTTCGATTTCCCACATGCCTGAAACCCATTTCTGGTGTTTCCCGGTGTGATATTGCTGGAGCATTGTTAAAAGCGGTGTAAAACCAAACTCACTCACTCACCCTTCAGCTTGGTTCCATTGGTTCCTCACTCGTCGTTAACCATTGTGCTACAGCTCGATGACTCTACTTCTTGAATATGAAAATTGGAGTTTTTCTGCTAGATTAACGCATCTTTTTTACCGGCTTATACTTCCAGATTCTATTGTGGACTACAGGCATCCCGAGGATGAGGACGAGGATCTGGACCACTATGTGCCTGTACCTGTGGACGAATGGCTGCCTCCTGAACTCAGGGTAAGACCAGAAACAACAACAATCGGATAGAGGGTCCGCCTCTGCAAACCCTGTCTGAGGATACAAAAAGCTGCACCACCACAGCCCCTAATCCAAACCAGTGTGATAATACATACTTTACGTTGAAGCTCCCTAATCCCAGCACTCTCGTCCCAGCCCCCGAAACCAGCGTGATAATACATACTTTACGTTGAAGCTCCCTAATCCCAGCACTCTCGTCCCAGCCCCCGAAACCAGCGAGATAATACATACTTTACGTTGAAGCTCCCTAATCCCAGCACTCTCGTCCCAGCCCCGAAACCCAGCGTGATAATACATACTTTACGTTGAAGCTCCCTAATCCCAGCACTCTCGTCCCAGCCCCCGAAACCAGCGAGATAATACATACTTTACGTTGAAGCTCCCTAATCCCAGCACTCTCGTCCCAGCCCCCGAAACCAGCGTGATAATACATACTGTAGGTTGAAGCTCCCTAATCCCAGCACTCTCGTCCCAGCCCCGAAACCAGCGTGATAATACATACTTTACGTTGAAGCTCCTAATCCCAGCACTCTCGTCCTAGCCCCGAAACCAACGTGATAATACATACTTTACGTTGAAGCTCCCTAATCCCAGCACTCGTCCCAGCCCCGAAACCAGCGTGATAATACATACTTTACGTTGAAGCTCCCTAATCCCAGCACTCTCGTCCCAGCCCCCGAAACCAGCGTGATAATACATACTGTACGTTGAAGCTCCCTAATCCCAGCACTCTCGTCTCAGCCCCCGAAACCAGCGTGATAATACATACTTTACGTTGAAGCTCCCTAATCCCAGCCCTCTCGTCCCAGCCCCCGAAACCAGCGTGATAATACATACTTTACGTTGAAGCTCCCTAATCCCAGCCCTCTCGTCCCAGCCCCGAAACCAGCGTGATAATACATACTTTACGTTGAAGCTCCATAATCCCAGCACTCTCGTCCCAGCCCCCGAAACCAGCGTGATAATACATACTTTACGTTGAAGCTCCCTAATCCCAGCACTCTCGTCCCAGCCCCCGAAACCAGCGTGATAATACATACTTTACGTTGAAGCTCCCTAATAATCCCAGCACTCTCGTCTCAGCCCCCGAAACCAGCGCGTGATAATACATACTTTACGCTGAAGCTCCCTAATCCCAGCACTCTCGTCTCAGCCCCCGAAACCAGCGTGATAATACATACTTTACGTTGAACCTCCCTAATCCCAGCACTCTCGTCCCAGCCCCCGAAACCAATGTGATAATACATATTGTACGTTGAAGCTCCCTAATTCCAGCACTCTCGTCCCAGCCCCCGAAACCAGCGTGATAATACATACTTTACGTTGAAGCTCCTAATCCCAGCACTCTCGTCCCAGCCCCGAAACCAGCGTGATAATACATACTTTACGTTGAAGCTCCTAATCCCAGCACTCGTCCCAGCCCCCGAAACCAGCGTGATAATACATACTTTACGTTGAAGCTCCCTAATCCCAGCACTCTCGTCCCAGCCCCCGAAACCAGCGTGATAATACATACTTTACGTTGAAGCTCCCTAATCCCAGCACTCTCGTCTCAGCCCCGAAACCAGCGAGATAATACATACTGTACGTTGAAGCTCCCTAATCCCAGCACTCTCGTCCCAGCCCCCGAAACCAGCGTGATAATACATACTTTACGTTGAAGCTCCCTAATCCCAGCACTCTCGTCTCAGCCCCCGAAACCAGCGAGATAATACATACTGTACGTTGAAGCTCCCTAATCCCAGCACTCTCGTCCCAGCCCCCGAAATCTAGTATGAGAACATGAACTAACATTTACATATTGGTACCATTAATTCTGCGTTTGAATATGAACACAAATTCACATATACTGGCAAACAAGGGTAAGTTAGACCGGAGCAGAGAACGCGTTTACGACAAGTAGGCCGTGCACGGCAATGAGTAAACCCATCTGGTTTGTGAATAGGAGAGCAGATGTAGGCTTGTGCACGTGCATTACATGACGATGAAACTGATTCGGCGCGTAGCTGGATACGCCTTGCACTTTGCTTCACCCATCGCACTACACTTGATCGTGGACAACCTGGGGCCCCTTCGCTAACAATGGCAAGCGCCAGTGGGCGGCACTCATGCATGCTAATACAGGTCGATTGCCAGGTCGGTGCACAACTCATCCTTGTTTGCCAGTAGGTACCCCCATCACACTCAACATGAAACCAGAACGTCTGTAATGAATTACGGTAACCTACCGCGCCAGGATGAACACTGACCACATTGATGCATGCTCCAGGGACGTTCATAAGAGGTTCTCAGGTCAGATCAAATATCATAATAGATATTACTTTTGCACAATTTCAGAGAGTGCTAAAATGTCTTGAAACCACTGACGCGGAGTCGAAGTGATTGAGTACATTTTGTTTGTGTGGGTCATTCAGGCATACGGCGCAATATTCAAAAAGCATGGGTTTGACAACACCCTCTTCATCACCGGCATGACTGAGAAGGAATTAAAGAACATCGGCATCAAGGGACAAGGGACTCTTCAGAACCTGCTTCACATGATCGAGTTGCTGCCTGACTTTGAGATTGAGTACAACGTTCCGGTAAGTAGGACTCACACATAAACAAATGCCAGTGAATGAGATGGGATTTACACCGCTGTTATCAGTCACGGCAGGGGACACCCGAATTGTGCTTGACGCATTGTGGGGAATCGAACCCGGGCTTTCGGCATGAAAAGCGAAAGCTTTAACATTTGGGCTACCTCACTGACCCTATCCAAATACCAGTGTGCGTATCTGTCAGTATTACAGGTGAAATAGACATGTGCAAATCTAAATGTTGAATGTCCTTTGGGTAACAGTTACACCATGTCTTGAAGTTCCTTTCTGCGCTCTTGAAAAGCCTTCAATATTATCATGATCCAGGGCCGAAGACAATCCAGTGATTGATATTATGAGCCAAGGTATAGGACAGTATATGAGATACAACCACAAGGTCCACTTAGCAACCGAACCCGGAATCTTTTTGAGGCCCTAGTGCACCCATGTGCACGGGATTTAACATAATCGCCTTCAACATACCTTTTTTAAGGAGTTCATCCAACTTTCTTCCAAGTTAAAACAAAGCTCCAAGAGGCGAAAGCCTAAAGCTCTCTCACTTGCTGTTCTGTGTTTGTTCTAGGGCAGCGTGAAGGAATGGCTGGAAAGTATTGGTCTCTTAGAGTACGAGCGGAACTTCAAGAAGAACCAGATCAAGAGGCCTATGGACCTGAGTGTGCTGAAGGGCTTTGGGAGGAAGGAGATTGAGAGGGAGCTGAAAATCACCAAGGCTGGTAAGATTTTACAGTTATACAAACTGTAATTTTATAGAAGCAATGACATATTTGGAACCGACTTAAGACATTGTTCGAGAACTCAGAATATATAAAAATCCTATTGGAAATACAGTTACGGTCACATACATACACACCCTAACTCACTCACTCACTCAAGCACGCACGAACACAAGCACACACACGTAGACGCACGCACACATCATTACCTAGCATGTCGGTGACATTGTCATCGTGATGGTGTCCGTGTTATGTCTTGAAGAAACACATTTATAGGTTATCAATGCACAGAGGATGCATCTGTTTAAAATGTCATTGAGTTAGAGAGTCAGCATGTTGTAGACAGTCATTATTGCATGGCCTGTTCTTCACTGCAGGTCACATCAAACGGCTCCTGTACGCCATACGGAAGTTGAGGGAACCAACTGAAGGTGAGTTTGACGCCACACTTGCTCAGTAGGTTAATGTAGGTAAGATCAGTGTTACGGGACCGATGAACCTATATTCCAGAACGTAGGGTGCCTTGAATACATTGAGTCCTAGATAAATATGTGAGGGGGCTTGTGTTCAGTGTCGTGACAGTTTCATGACAGTCTCATGACAGTCTCATGACAGGCCACATCAAGGTGTGTAAAATTGTAGTGGAATAGTCGTTTTGCTCACACATATATAGAGGATACTAAACGACCTTCTGTGTAAATACTATTTTTATTCAACGAGTTAATGATTTGGTATCAAAATCTGTCACGAGTTTAATAAAACAGAAGCGAGTTTAGTATTCTGTTTATTATTCTCCAACATTAATTGATAGAAACTGCCTACAGTGTGATGACTCTCAGCTTTCTATGGAATCCGAGAAGGGACATTGTCGCGTTGTTGCATTGTCGCGTTGTCACTCCCTCAAAAACAAGGCAAAATGAGGCAAAGTTAGCCAAAGTTAACCATTTTATGAAAATGTTGCATTGTCGCATTGTCGCGTGTCACGTTTTAGTCAGTTTAAAGGCTTTTTTTACACATCTTAGATAGGGTGACAATGTGACAACGCGACACATGAGACATATTTTGTCGCCCTTTAGAGGAATAGAAAAATATTATTCAAAACGCGGCATGCGACATCTCGACAATGCGACAAATGGCCGAAATGTCGCGTTGTCGCATTTTCGCGCTTTGGTTAATTGTGCCTCATTTTGCTTGTATTTGAGAGGGCGACAACGCGACAGTGTCCCTTCCAGGATTCCATAGCTTTCCACAAAGCAATGTCTAATACCATTGTGACAGAGGTATTAGCATTGTGACGTCATAACTGTAAATCATTATGACATCATACGTCTTGCGGTATTATACTAGTGTATTGTTGCCATGTAGATATTACACCTCAGTATCTTCCACGGGCTAGAAATAATATTAGGATATCCTGAGAGTAGCTTTTGTTGTAATTGCCTGACAAGAATTACTTATATATAGGTACCAGCGAGCAAACTTGTCCAGTGAAGACAAAGCTGTCCTGTATATTAATTTCCGTTTCTATTACCGTCGTTGCAGAGGTGTCTAAATACACTGTAGCGGGGCTGGCAAAAATATCGATAATCGAAAATATCGTCGATAGGAAAAATATGTTAATTATGGATATGAAAATAGTGTCCTCGATATTATGGTTCATACACTTTTGTGACAGAATAAAGTTTAAATCTACTCACACAATACAGAAAATTAGGTTTTTATTCATTATAAGCTCCTAAAGTATGTTTAGGACGTATGCTTGTCGTAAGAGGCCACTTATGGTGTCGGGTGGTCAAGCTCGCTGATTTGGTTGACACATGTCATCCGTTCCCAATTGCGCAGATCGATGCTCATGCTGTTGATCACTGGAATGTCTGGTCCAGACACGATTATTTACAAATCGCTGCCATATAGCTGGAATAATGCTGAGTGTGGCGTAAAACTGAACTCACTCACTCACTGCTGTGAAGGACACAGATGTCACACAAACCATGGACATGATGAGTCTGTTTCTGTACTGTTGCAGCTGAGAAGGCGGCCATAGTGATGAAAGCACGTGTGGACAGGTCTCCCAAGCACCTGCTGAAGAGGTCGAACGTTGGAGAGTATGACTTCTGGATACGGCTGATTGAGGATTCACTGAAACCAGGCAATAAGGCGTTTGGTATTGAAGGAGAGCTGAAAGGTACAAACTCCATAGCTACATTCCATGCACCTAGCTCTGATTCCAGATATGAATAGGACCCAAGAAACCTTTGAATACCATATGAGGCAAATAGTTGAATACCTTAATCGCTTCTGATCGCTACCATATTGCTGGAATATTGTTGAATAGGGGATTAACTTAAGATCGAGCTTTACATCCATTTCATTTCTTCATGACGTGACAATCTGTTGTTTAGCGCCACACTCAGAAATAGTCAAGCTATAAGACTACGGTCTATTTTAAATCGAATCTCTTACAGGTAAAAAATCGTGTCTCCTTTTCAGAACCTATTATGAGTGCGGTACATGGCTCAGCTGTTCCTTTGCTAATCTAACTTGAACGTCCCCAAAATTATTTGACTGGTTGTATCCCACGAACCAATATACTATCCTCATGAGACACCAACTCTTCGTCAGCTCTAATGCAACCTTCGCTCTCTTTCTCCTATTAACTGAATTATCTTATCTGTGTTACGCCTCGCATTGCTTGCTTACATTCAAAAGATGCTTTTGTTAAACAATGTTCCCTGCAATCAAGAGCATATAACCACCTCTCAGGATTATCTAACATTGTGCTACAAAATACGCTTCTCTTCAGACCATCCGGTTATCCAATATAAAATCAACTGGATAAGCTCATATAGTCCTACCTAATCTATCCACAGATTTCCGGTATTTCCCAAACCAGAAATTTGACCATTGAGGGGATAATTGTTTGATTCCAAAATGTGTAAAGAAGGAAAAAGACACACTGGAGATGTTCTAAATGGCCAATGAAGATCTTTGGGGGTAATCATTAATTGCCGAGTTTTTGTGTAAAGCCAAAAAGGAGCCTTACGTCGCTGCTTTAAACTATATTTATCAACTATTATTTTGTTGAAATCTAAATTCAACCGGATAAGCCCATGCAACCCCACCTGCATACCCTGCTTGGCTGTGTACGTGTTTTCATTGCTTTCAGGCGTGGTGGAGGTGGGACGCGGCGAGCATAAAACGCACATGATAAAACAATTGCTTGGTTCAATTGCTTCATTTTTCTTCATAGCGAGACTGAGCGATCTGAGGAACTCGTGGCTCATGATTCTGGCGGTCAGCAACTCGTTGTGGATAATACTCATTACAACCTTAGCTTCTAAAGGAAATCTCACTATCCTTGGAGCTAACCCACTTGGTAAGTGCGACTTAATTATCACTATACTCAAAGCAAACCCAGTTGGTAAGTAGCCGTGAAGATCCGGCTTAGAATTGTTTTTCAGTAACCCAAGCTTGTCGTAAGAGGCAACTGACGGGATCGGGTGGTCAAGCTCGCTGACTTGGTTGACACATCTCATCGTATCCCAGTTGCGTAGATCGGTGCTCATGCTGTTGATCACTGGATTGTCTGGTCAATGTTCGATTATTTACAGAACTCCGCCGTATAGCTGGAATATTGCTGAGTGCGGCGTTAAACTAAGCTCACTCACTCACATTGTAAGTGCGACTTAACCATTGTCCTTGGAGCGAACCCACTTGGTAAGTGCGACTTAACTCTGACTATCCTTTGAGCAAACCTCATTGACAAGTGTTACTTAAGTCTCCCTATATTTCGAACAAACCCACGTGGTATTTACAACTATCCCTTGAGAATACCCACTTAGTAAGTGCGACTTAATTCTCACAACGCTTTGGGCAAACCGACAACGGCAACGTACGAACACAACTTTTAATCTTTAGAGCAGACCCACTTGGTATGTACTACACAACTGTCACTATACTACAAAAACCGAAACATGGGTCTCACCAATTCAGACAATGACCTACTTTCCAGTCGATCCGAATTTACTCGTGTGAAAGCGAAAAGAGACACTACAAACAACTCTGGTTACACTGAATTCCAATTCCATGTTTGATACGAAAATGGTATTTACAAATTAATTCTACTTTTAAAGTTTAAACAAATCGTATTTCTCTATTTTATGCCGAGGTTTAGGCAGCATGTCGTTAACTAAGACGTCACAGACTGCCCCTGATTGACGAGGTCGTACAATGATTCACACTTTATCTGGCTCACTGGTTACAGTTGTTATGTGTTCTTTGTGCTCATTCAGTGTACTTTTGTAACGTACAATGTGGTTGATATAAGATGAAGTTCGTACCACACCGCCAAACCTTTCTAGTGGCCGAGCCTCGTTTTGAGATTTCCACGATTTCCGTTTGTCAGAGCTCGCTGTACGACGTGTTTGCAAGGATTAGGAGCGTAGTGTTGCAATATACAAGTGATTAGATGTATCAAATAATACTGATTAATATTTGTATATCCAGTTAAATGAGTTGGTCTAAAACTTCTGGACTGGTTATTGTACTAAGTTGCGCAATAGGACGGAACCCAGTCAGCAGGAAACCAGACTTCTGTGCAATCAATGTTTTGACTTTACCAACCCTTTTCACATCTATATATATACTCTCACTATACTATGTGCAAACCAACAAAGTATGTACAACCTAAACTCTATACGTGGTTTAAACGCCATTGGAAAGTCCAATGTGATCCTTGAGATGGTTGTTGAGTTTTTAGCTTTCTAGCAGTGTATATGAAACGATTTGTTAAGGACTGGTGTTTGTAAGTCATAGCAAACAATATTCCATTTATTTACGTGCACTCCTGTTAATGACTGAGCCAGGCAACGCATCGTGTCTCCTGGCATGACAATTATTCTGTCTGTACAATTTATGTGGAGTTAATGCCATGTAGAGTCCACAATATCACTAGTGGGCAATTGGATTTATACATCAGGTGTATTGTTGCGTATATATCTCAAGCTGAATCATCTCTGCATATGTGGGAGTTCCAGGTAATATTTGTTTTATATGGGCGATGGGGCAGCGGAACGGTTAATGCGTTCGCATTTCACGCCTAAGAACCGGGTTCGATTCCCCACATTGGTACAATGTGAGAAACCCTTTCCTGGTGTCCTCCACCGTGATAGTGCTGGAATATTGTTAAAAGTGGCGTAAAACTATACTCAGTCACTATTAGAGTTCCAGGTCTTGAACTGATTCAATTTTTTATGCTAGTTCATGCCAACAAACAATGTACTCACTGTACTATTTACTACTCACACTTTGAGAAGGATCACAAATATTCACATCTGTACTTAAACGTAGATTTATAATATGAAGTTGTTTCCATTTAAAACCGAATAGACTAAGACCGATTGTGGATAAAAGTAATGCAAGAAGCATGTTTTAGTAGGATTTGGTATCCAGGCTATTTTACATATTTAAAGGGTGCTGTTCACGAAACAATAGGATGCCAAGCTGAAAAAAAGTGTTTTTGACCATCAAATTTGAAAAACGAAATGGCCGCCCAAATCGCCCAAAATAGAGGTAGGTGTGCAAAGTATTTTCGCTTATGACTGTATCTCTATTTTTTTTTAATTTCGGAAACGTGACCATTTATGACATTTAAAGAATACTGATCATGAATAAATAGGATTCCAAGCTGAAAAATGTTTTTTGGACCTCAAATTTGATAAACAAAATGGCCACCAAAGTAATGGTATGTGTGCACAGTTTGTCATTATGTCGTGACGTCGCTTACATTGTGACGTAATGTAAAATGGTTCGATTATGAGGAGGCACACTAGAATGGCGCAGTGACGGGATAACGTCATTCAATTGTTACGTCATCAAAAAATTATACCTTTATTGTCTGATAATGTATTTTCTTTCGATTGTTCTAACCGCTAGGGATCTTAGAATAACGCTTGTAACGCGCTGAATCCATGCACAGGACATGCTCTAAGCGCACATGTCCAAGAGGAGATGAGAAAAGAGAAGGCAAGTCTGAACAGGAAGGTTTTGGGTTGTGGCTTAAACGATGACAAAGTGATTCACAGTCTTTCAGGTACTGGGGCAGAGAGTTCCAGGCTTTAGTGGCTGAATATGCAAATGTTCTCTCCCCATTGCGGGATGTTTTTACCATGGGAACTTGGAGCAGGGTTTAGGAATGGAAGCGTAGAGTTCTTGCTGGTGTGTAGGCTTTAATCAGATCAGATATGTAGGGAGGAGCCTCACGAGGCCGGAGAATGTCTCCAAAGTGGAACTCGCGGATTCCTGCCTCAGCCCTTCTATGCTGAGAACCAAGAGAAGACATTCACTCTTTGACTCGTTCAGCTTCAGCTTGTTCTGAAACATCCAAGCTTTTATATCCTCACAGCAGCCAGCTACCTGTGAAACTGCATCGTGAGCATCTGTAGCCTTGGGAGAGAAAACCTTGTTCATTTGAGTGTCGTCTGCATACTGCTGTCGGCAGACAGAGGCATGTCTATTACTGATTCCAGTTGTGGATGGTTTCTCAAACAAAATGCTACACACTGTGTTCACACTTTGAACATTATGAACACAATATACCTTGCACACAAATTCTTCAGCGGATCTGGTCTTGTCTTGGTTCAGGTTTTCGGCACCCAAATCCTTTGGGAGATGATGATAGTTGAGAAAGACCTTTCAGGCTGATCTCTTGGTATGATCACAGCCCGCAAGTGCATGAAATGGCAACAACGATGCAACAGAATGTGCTGGCAGTTTCTCGTAAACTTTACCAACTGGAAAGTACTTTTGACATGACATCTGGAATATCTTAAGTTTTGATGGTTTCAATGTGTAAAAAATCACACCAGGGGGCGGTCCACGCTGCCATCCTGCTACTTGTGTTGCACAGAACGTGTTTTTTCCATCCACGGTTTCATCCAGGATATCAATATTGTCTGATGTGAAGAAAACTAATCTGTTTGGTATGAGGTTTAGTGGTATCACAGAACCAGCATGTGATTCATTGTTTTCAACATTGACCCTGCCATGGATGTGCTAAGTCGCATGACCTGCTTGTAACTTGTCCTGCTTTGTGAAACAACTGAACAAGATCTTTGGATTTCGTTACTGGATGAAGTCAACATACAAATGTTTAAGGAACATGTAGACATTGTCCGGTATGCAAGTGATGGCACTTTGTTCATCAACCTCAAACACCAGTGTGAGATGGTGTATCTATCATAACGAAACTCAGAGGTCAACCATGCCATTGGTGGGTCTATGTTACAGTCATGAGCATTTTGGTTTTTTGACGTATTTCTTTTAAAGGAACTAAGACAGGGCATATGATATTTAGACTCGGCAGCAATTAGGCCACATACACCAGCAAGTTTACAATTCAAGTGATGATCAAATCGAGAAGCTTCCAGAACATCAGACCTGGTGTTTAATGTCATCACGTAATAGAGAATGCTGGTGTTGTTTCAAGTTAACTACTTGACAAAACATACATTTCTTCCAGTCAATAGGATTTGAACATGAGGGGTTCACTTACATTTTGTAACTGAAAATGCAGTATATTATTCATTCTATTGTTTTTATTTGCCATTTATTGAAAGTAGAAACACTATTTAAAAGATACACAATGTAACAGGAGGAAAAATTACAATAATTACACCAGCAACTTGACATGTCTTAGAAAGGCAGCCATCAAAAGTAAAGGGGCCGTTCATTATTATGAATTGTCAAATTACCACCCTTTTAAAAAACATTCCCAACAATTGCAACTGTGCTCAGTAATGTTTCATAATGTGTTGCTAACTATCTGAACTATGCAACAACTAAAGTGTTTAGTTAACAACTTTTTACTAATAATTGATAAAATACATTTAAAAAATAATTTTGGGATGATATAATTTTATAATATATATATTTTTTTAATGAAAGTCAGTTCTATATCTTGTGGTGACAACAATATTAACATTTTAATTGTACAGTGGTCATTTATATTACTTCATATACCAATCTAAGCATTCAGTATTTTGGTCCACTGAAAAGGTGATTGGCGGCCATTTTGTTTTTCAGTTTTGAGGTTCATAAACATTTTTTTCAGTGGGGAATCCTCTTTTTTTCGTGATGAGCACCCATTAAATGTCAAAATGAATCAGGTTTAAACAAATTAGAAAGCATATATACTGTCACAGGTGATGATATACCATGCAAACATACCACTGCTTGAGGTGACTATGGCGGCCAGTTTGTTTTTCAATTTTAAAAGGTTCAAAAACATTTTTCAGCTTGGAATCCTATTTTTTCATGATCAGCATTCTTTAAATGTCATATAAGGTCAAGTTTCCAAAATTTGAAAAATAGAGATACAGTCATAAGCGAAATTACTGTGCACACCTACCAATATTTTAGGCGATTTTGGCGGCCATTTTGTTTTTCAGTTTTGAGGTTCATAAACAATTTTTTCAGTGGGGAATCCTCTTTTTTTCGTGATGAGCACCCATTAAATGTCAAAATGAATCAGGTTTAAACAAATTAGAAAGCATATATACTGTCACAGGTGATGATATACCATGCAAACATACCACTGCTTGAGGTGACTATGGCGGCCAGTTTGTTTTTCAATTTTAAAAGGTTCGAAAACATTTTTCAGCTTGGAATCCTATTTATTCATGATCAGCATTCTTTAAATGTCATATAAGGTCAAGTTTCCAAAATTTAAAAATAGAGATACAGTTATAAGCGAAATTACTGTGCACACCTACCACTATTTTAGGCGATTTTGGCGGCCATTTTGTTTTTCAATTTAAGGGGTCAAAAACACTTTTTTCAGCTTGGCATCTTATTTTTTTGTGATCATCACCATTTAAATATGTAAAGTAGCCTGGATACCAAATCCTTCTAAAAAATGCCTCAACGTCTTTTATTTGAGCCTGTTTTTTCAGAATCGGGCCTAGTCTAGGATAAATAATAATATGATAACCCCTCTTTGTGCAGACAGCCCCTTTATTCTAACCTTATGCACTTGCTACATGAGTAGCCATAAAATGGTTTTCAACCATTTTGCAAATCATGGAAGGAGTCACTGACAAATAATATAAACACCACCTCCGTCAATAGCAGGTATGGGATCCACAAGATGCAATGCCATACTGAAACCTAGGATCCATGCTTACAAGAATCTTAGATATTTAAACCAAACTAGACCCCTCATAATAGCTTTCTGTTGAATCCATGATTTGATCCTTAGCAAAGTGTGAATAGTATATATTTGCACACCTACCAGGTATTTACAACCCAACTCTGATTATACAAATTATCGTGTCTCTGCAGAGACTGTGTTGGGAATATTGACCTGTAAATGATCACGATGCTGTATAAAATCTACAACGATCTGATTCCAGGGCTGAGTTTCCTGTTCATATTCGGCACTCTGCTGGCAATCCAGTTCCTGGCGATGATCATCCACCGCATCTCCACACTCGCCCACTTCCTGGCCAGGGCTCCATTCAAATACGGCGCCACAGCCGAAGACCTCGTGGTCGTTTGGGGCAACCGCCACCGGCACGACCCTGACACCTCTCGACGACTGGGAGGCCATACAGACTCTGCAACGTGACGAACACAGAATCAGGGAGGCCAAGAGGAGACAGAAGATGAAAAAGGCCCGCACCATGGCTAGCATCTCTGAAAACACTTCTCTGCTTCACGATGGTCAGCAGAACAAGGTGGGCTTGTCTGGCAAGTACATGTATGGAGATGGTCGGCAGGAAACGCATACCAGGGATTTGTCGCATGTATGATACGTGTGTGCGTACAACACTTGGCAGTGCTTCCCAGTGAGGATATTTCAAGAGAGTTTTTGTTCGTTTGTTGTTTTACGCCGCACTCAGCAATATTCCAGCTGCATGACGGCGGTCTGTACATAATCGAGTCTGGACCAGACAATCCAATGATCATCAACATGAGCACCGATCAACCCAATTGGGGCATGATGAGATTTGTCAACCATGTCAGCAAGCCTGGTTTCGATCCCGTTTGTCGCTTCTTAAAGACTAATTCACTCAGTGGTAGTCACCTGAACATAGCTGACACAATACCATATGGCATTATCAGCATACCGTTTCGGTTTTTGAACTGCAACCACTCCACAATATATGTATTCTAACCCGGATCAAGACGCTTCTCATTTCAAGAGATACAGTTCAAGTCCTGATTCTTGCCGCGAATTATTTTCACTTGATCGTTACAGAAAATTGATTCTTTCTGTTTTGGTAGAGATATGTTAATGAAAATGAAAATTGTTTTGTCGCATTTGTTTGAATGGCCCATGTGCTTCAGCTGTGAGAACAGCATTTTCTATGCAATGTAAAATTATGTGGCCCTTATAAAGACATAATGTGTTTGCAATCATCGTTATTTCACAGGGGAAGGTGTTATGGATCTCATCGTCTTTATAATAGAGAACACAAAGTGTCGGAGTATATGCTAACTCATTCACCAGGAGGCGGTTGGGTAGCCTAGGGATCAAAGCGTCCGCTCGTCACGTTGAGAACCCGGGCTCGATTCTCCACATGGGTCCAAAGTGTGTAACCCATTTCCAGTGTCTCCCGTCGTGATATTGCTGGAATATTGATGAAAACGGCGTAAAACTAAACTCACTCACTCCTTCATACAGAGCATGTATGAAGAAAGAACAAAGGACCTGACAGAACAAAGGTGGAAAGTTAAAACCACCAACAGTTAATTAAGGTGTAGCTTTGGGGGAAACCAACACTGAATCTAATAGCAATAGAGACTTGGGAAAGCCTTCATTCACCAGATGGAGTAATCTTATTCTCCTAAATTCAAAGACAGATCAGGTGTATCGTCTAATTGATCCATAAACCTGGATGAAGATGTAAAGTGTTTTCGTTCTTGTATTTTTCTCAGCTTCTTCTCACCTTCAGGTAGCCACAACTTTTGAATATGGCTGTGTGGTTGTGTCAACTCCCATAGTTGCGAAAATGGATAGAAGAGGCAGGTCAGAAGCATATGTTTTAAAGGGAAGGGTTTTCTGCTCCGTAGGGATTAAAATGGGTGTTGGCTAGTAGGCGAGTCCGTTCCATAAATAATGAAAAGGTTAAAGCGTCCGCACGTCCGGCAATAGACCTAGGTTTGATTCCCCACACGGGTACAATGTGTGAAGCCCATTTCTAGTGTCCCCTGCCGTGATATTGCTGTGATATTGCTAAAAGCGGCGGTGAGTCATACTCATACATGTTCAGGCCCAACAGTGGGCTAGGGCATCCCAGATCTGTCTTGGTGTTTCGGTGATCGTAACTGGTAACTGCCATACGTTACCATAGCCATAGCGTTAAAATCGCCTTCTGGAAAAAGGCACCGTTCCACGATCACCTGTGAACGTTCTGAGGAACAGAAACCAGGTGCTACGACCAGTGTGTAAACGGTGTTTTTTTTCTCTCTCTCTCTCTCACTCTCTCTCGCTCTCTCTCTCTCTCTCTCACACACACACACACACACAGAGAGAGAGAGAGACACACACACACACACACACACAAAAGCGGCATAAAACCCAACTAACTCGCTCACATATGGTAGATGAACGATGGTGTCCAGAGTCCCAGGGGTCTTTCGGGAATAACCATCACGATCTTACAGATTAGATAATTAGGTTCATTGTCCGAATGAAGGAATTACCCGTGTTAAATGTTAAAACTTTATGGTATAAATACAATATTAACCAATATTATCAGGAGGAATCTATCCACTTTAATTGTCGTGATTGGCTGCTAATGTGTGATAAAACAGCTGATATCAGTTTCAATATCTTTAAAAGTCTACACTAATTAATGTCGTGTTATGTTACAGATGTTATTCTCTTGAACGTGTTTTTCAGCGCTGTCACCATTTAAATATAATATAGAGTTGTATGTTCCACCGTCAACTGCCTCCTGGCATAGTTTATAATGATTACAACTAAACATAATTACTTGTCACGGAAATAGACAACAAGAATATCCACAGCATTTTTTTGTCGGTCAACCGTTGGCAAAGTCTCAGTCTCGTTACAACATTCGTTCACACTGCGAAAATATACTATTCAAGGGACGCTACTCTTATTTGGCAAATCCCCAGGAGGCGCTGTGCTTTTCCGCGCCCGACCGACGAGTAGACGACGCGACACAAGCACAAAATTGCCATAACTGAACATTGTTTTCCTCGGACACAAGGGTGAGTACAGTTTATAATTATTATAATTATTAATGACATAACATAACAACTAAAATGTATGTGAACGGAAGTGGACGATCTTTAAAGTCACTGAAGTATATACACCACAACAATAAAACGAAATGTGCAGAAAGTGAATTTTACATGTACAGGATTTCAGTATTCCAGTCTATTTAATGTATATATGGACAGATTTCATGTATGCTGTTGAACATTACGTTAACTGTAGTCTGATAAAAGTTGACATTCTATCAAGTTGTCAGTCACGTTTTCATGCAGTTTTTCAATTCCAAATATATCAAATTGATAAAATGAGTAGAGTAATTTTATAAGCAATATATTGATTTATTCTTCCTTAAAATACCTGAGAACTTTAAAGGAGAACAAATTTAATTTGTAGTTTGGTGCTAAGTTCATTCAAATGTATTTCCTACACTACCCGGAAGACAAACAACACGTGTTCATTAATGTCAAGGCTTGAAACTAGTTTTGTTGACATAAACATGGTTGCTAACGTCATGACTACAAGTCCGAAATACGTCCGACTGTTAAAATACCTTTTTGGTATTGAGATTGTCAGTATCATATTGCCAGCACAGGCTGTCATGACAGGCTGGGGAGGGAATAAGAGTTTACGCTGCTTTTAGCAATATTTCAGCAATATCACGGCAGGAAACACCAGAATTTGGCTTCACGCATTGTACCCTGGGAGTTACGAATGAAAAGCGAACCCTTTGGCACTAGCTACTCGTCATAAGAGCTAGTTGCTAAGTGCATCAAACTTCTTTCAATGTGAATTTACCGGCCACCTGAGCAATGCAAATACTGACTGTTGTATTTCTCAAAATAGAGAGTGTTTGATTTTATTGTTGAAATTTGTTAAATATACCCATTTGAAAATGACACCTTCGCCTTAAATAATTTGACAAAATGTTATAAGGTCGAATTATTAATTTATTTATTTTTTTAAATTACAATTGTTCAGAATTGGGCTTTGCAACTTTTAGCACTCTGCTTACATGTTGTCATAATAGCAATAGCATGCATACGCCTACTAATCATGGTAAGGAGGTGAGGGGCGGTGGGGTAGCCTAGTGGTTAAAGCGTTCGCTCGTCACGCCGAAGACCCGGGTTCGAATCCACACATGGGTACATTGTGTGAAGCTCATTTCTGGTGTGCCCCTCCGTGATATTGCTGGAATATTGCTAAAAGCGGCATAAAACCAAACTCACTCACTCACTGTAAGGAGGTGAACAGCTGTGAACAACAGGACGAGTTCAGTTTTCGATCAGCAGAAAATTTCGTGGTGTCGTTTGTTGCCAGAGTGGACACTATAGTTGCTTGCTATTGTTTGCATATATCATCAGTTTTTAGCAACCGTTGGAAATGAAGGGTTAAACTTGCATCAATGGTTTGTGGGGTAAAGTAGAAAAGTAACGTCATCAGTATATATATTGCATGCATTTTCAGTTTGTATTGATTAAAACAATCCACCTATGTGTCAATACTGAGAGCGACCATACTGATTGTTTCTGTTTTCCATGCAGGTGATGTAGACAGGATTGTGGTAGCATATGTACTTGACGTACAGCACTAACAGGAGTGATGGCTCCATCAACTGAGCCGTGAAGAAACATACTCGTGAAAATAAATAAATTCATCTTCAAGAATTAAAAAAAGAGACAATTTTCTGTTTTGATTCAAGGGCATCACATATAACTGTCTGTCCCACCTTCCCACAATTAACAGCCAGGGTCCCGATCCACAGGGCGTTCGTAACTTTACGACATTCGTAAGTCTGTGATTAACGATAGAGCTACGACAGTTCGTAACGTTACGACATTCGTAAGTCTGTGATTAACGATAGAGCTACGACAGGTCGTAACGTTACAAACGCTTTGTGGACGGGACCATTTAACTATACAGTATTGTTCAATAGGGGAGGGATTAAAGAGGCTAAGGAGTTTATGTTTTTTGTTTGTACTGAAAATAAATTTGGGTTGCCATTAGATTGTGTTTGGGTCTTTTTCCAGGGGCAGCGGATTAAGGAGTTGCGGACCCTCCCATGATTTGAGTTCCTGGTCCACTTCAAGTTCCGACCCGTCATTAAACAGCTGAATGGATGTCACCTTCACCAGAACATTGTGTTTATATTTCACGTTGTATCATGTTGCTCTCATGCACACGTTATATATATACGTCACGGAATGTCATCATGATACAGCAGATGTATTTTAATGACTAATTTGCTAGTCTCTCGCTTACCTTAATGTTGAATGAATGGACTATAGCCAAGATAAAATTCAAATGTCTCACATTTATAGTCATTTGTATGATGGTGCTTTTTTATCAAATTTTGTACATTTTTTAAAAATAAATTATTTAACCTCTTTATAATTGACAAAACATTTTGTAAGATTTGTTCCTTGTCCCTACATCAAGCAATCCAGCGGTGTTATGCCATGAGTAGATATACCGACGTCAAGGATTTATGCCGACGTTTTACAGGTTTTATGCCAACTTTGACGGTCCTAACAGCACTGGATCAACGTTGACAACCAACAGTGTTACCAAGGTGATCACGTAGGTGATCTGGTCCATCCCATCGTTCAGCTGGAATATAGCTTAGTGCGTTGATAAACAAGCAACCAAACAACCAAGTTTGGTGAGCAGTGGGTTTGTTATGATCACGCCCAACACATCAGTGTATTCTCTGAGAATTTAGTCATCGCAGACCCGTGGCAATGGTAAACGGGTGACGAGTGCAATAAGTCATATAGAGGTTGGACACAGATTCCTTAATATGTGAGTTGGTGAGTGAGTTTAGTTTTGCGCCGCACTCAGCAATATTTCAGCTATATGGTGGTGGTCTGTAAATAATCGAGTCTGGACAGGACAATTCAGTGGTCAACGGCATGGGCATCGATCTGCGCAATTGGGAACCGATGACATGTGTCAGCCAAGTCAGCAAGCCTGACCACCCAAACCCGTAAATCGCCTCTTACGATAAGCACAGTCGCCTTTTTGTGGCAAGCATGGGTTGCTGAAGACCTATTTTAACCCGGATCTTCACGGGTCTCCTTGATGTGTACGTTTATATCCTGGCAAAGGTATACCTGGGACGATCATCCCGGTATATGAACCACCATGACAGTGTGTCCTGGGTGATCCAAGAAGAGTATTTTCTGAATTTTAACATACACATTCAATTGCGGTACAGCAACATCTACAAATACTTCTTATATGCTCGGGGTATATCATGGACGCATAATGCAAATTGATCTCAGAGCAACGTCGATCTTAAGTCTAGGTTAATGCATTGGGAGTTATACACTCCCCTGAGATCCCTTTCTGCAGGGCGCTGTGGAAATTCGACTTCTCTGACATACACTTACGACTATCGTGGCGCAAAGGTTGTGTTGTACAACGGGACCTTAGAAAATGCACCGTTACATGCACGATAAGGTCGATTTGCCATGGTCACACATGTACAAACCGATTTTAAAGTTCTATGTTGGAGTTACAATCTCCTCTAACATTGCTTTCTGCAGAAAGGCTGTTGAAATTTGGTTTAACATTCTCCCTACTAGAGCATTCACTGCAACAAGTACAAAACACTATGAACCTATGAACCACCTGGGAGCTAGCATTACCAGTGCAACGACCAAGCGACCAGAAGAGACAGAGCAACAACTTCTAGACCAGCACAACCATTGTACCGCCCCATAAATTAGATAATGGTTTTCAGATGATACACGAACACACGTAAACAGGACTAGCCAAGCCTACACAAACTCAACAACGCGCACATCGGCATCGCAATACGAGCAACAGCCTACGCAACACATAGACTAACTGGTCAAGCACACACCGACCTTGTAATCAGCGCTAGCAACACGTACTACTGTCCAGCAATACGCACAACAGCCAAGCAACACGTTCATCAGCCTAGTAACATGTGCACCAGCCTCGCAACACATTCATCAGGCTAGTAACGCTTGCACCATCCTCGCAAGACGTACAGCAGCCTAGTAACACTTACAACAGCCTCGCAACACGTACAACAGCCTAGTAACACGTACAACAGCATCATGACACGTACAGCAGCCTCGCAACACGAGCACAAGCCTAGCAACAAATACAACATCCTAGCAACATGTACAACAGCGTAGTAACACCAGCACAAGCTTAGCAACACGTACAACAGCGTTGTAACACTACAATAGCCTCGCAACACGTACTGCAGCCTAGTAACACGTACAACAGCTTCGCCACACGTTCACCAGCCTAGCAACGCGTACAACAGCCATGAAACACGTATAACAGCCTAGCAACACTTACAACATCACCGTAATACGTACTGCAGCCTAGTACCACGTGCAACAGTCTATTAACACCTAGAAACACCTACGCCATCTTAGCAGCACATCCCACCAACATAGTGAAGCAAAATCTTAATAACACGTATACAAGCCCGGCAATATAACAGTCTGACACGTAACGATGTGAGAAGGGACACATTATATTTTGTGACTAGCAGCTCACATTTTACAAGTTAATGGAGACACAAAGTTTGAAACATCAAGCTGTAAAATGAGGGATAACTGACTACAACAACCGGTCGAGTTCAGTGTTTGCTCAAGACATCCAGGGTATGGCTGACAGGGTGTCCCCCCCATTCCCCTACACTCTCAAATTCACCTACATTTTGGGGGTCAAAAGTGTCGGTATAATTTGGGGATCTTAAATAAACACTGTAGATGATGTACACCCTCTCATGTAATAGGGACTCTTTCAATCTTCTGTAAGTAAAGCAAAAAGTGTAGGTATAATGGGGATCTTAAATAAACACTGTAGATGATGTACACCCTCTCATGTAATAGGGACTCTTTCAATCTTCTGTAAGTAAAGCAAACAGTGTAGGTATAATGGGGATCTTAAATAAACACTGTAGATGATGTACACCCTCTCATGTAATAGGGACTCTTCAATCTTCTGTAAGTAAAGCAAACAGTGTAGGTATAATGGGGATCTTAATGGGATGTACACCCTCTCATGTAATAGGGACTCTTTCAATCTTCTGTAAATAAACAAGCAGTGTAGATGTTAATGGGGGGATCTTAAATAAACACTGTAGATGATGTACACCCTCTCATGTAATAGGGACTCTTTCAATCTTCTGTAAGTAAAGCAAACAGTGTAGGTATAATGGGGGATCTTAAATAAACACTGTAGATGATGTACACCCTCCTCATGTAATAGGGACTCTTTTCAATCTTCTGTAAATAAAGCAAACAGTGTAGGTATAATGGGGATCTTAAATAAACACTGTAGATGATGTACACCCTCCTCATGTAATAGGGACTCTTTCAATCTTCTGTAAGTAAAGCAAACAGTGTAGGTATAATGGGGATCTTAAATAAACACTGTAGATGATGTACACCCTCTCATGTAATAGGGACTCTTTCAATCTCTGTAAGTAAAGCAAACAGTGTAGGTATAATGGGGATCTTAAATAAACACTGTAGATGATGTACACCCTCTCATGTAATAGGGACTCTTTCAATCTTCTGTAAATAAAGCAAACAGTGTAGGTATAATGGGGGATCTTAAATAAACACTGTAGATGATGTACACCCTCTCATGTAATAGGGACTCTTTCAATCTTCTGTAAATAAAGCAAACAGTGTAGGTATAATGGGGATCTTAAATAAACACTGTAGATGATGTACACCCCTCTCATGTAATAGGGACTCTTTCAATCTTCTGTAAATAAAGCAAACAGTGTAGGTATAATGGGGATCTTAAATAAACACTGTAGATGATGTACACCCTCTCATGTAATAGGACTCTTTCAATCTTCTGTAAATAAAGCAAACAGTGTAGGTATAATGGGGATCTTAAATAAACACTGTAGATGATGTACACCCTCTCATGTAATAGGGACTCTTTCAATCTTCTGTAAATAAAGCAAACAGTGTAGGTATAATGGGGATCTTAAATAAACACTTGCTGTAGATGATGTACACCCTCTCATGTAATAGGGACTCTTCAATCTTCTGTAAATAAAGCAAACAGTGTAGGTATAATGGGGGATCTTAAACAAACACTGTAGATGATGTACACCTCTCATGTAATAGGAGGGACTCTTTCAATCTTCTGTAAATAAAACAAACAGTGTAGGTATAATGGGGGATCTTAAATAAACACTGTAGATGATGTACACCCCTCTCATGTAATAGGGACTCTTTCAATCTTCTGTAAATAAAGCAAACAGTGTAGGTATAATGGGGGATCTTAAATAAACACTGTAGATGATGTACACCCTCTCATGTAATAGGGACTCTTTCAATCTTCTGTAAATAAAGCAAACAGTGTAGGTATAATGGGGGATCTTAAATAAACACTGTAGATGATGTACACCCTCTCATGTAATAGGGACTCTTTCAATCTTCTGTAAATAAAGCAAACAGTGTAGGTATAATGGGGATCTTAAATAAACACTGTAGATGATGTACACCCTCCTCATGTAATAGGGACTCTTTCAATCTTCTGTAAATAAAGCAAACAGTGTAGGTATAATGGGGATCTTAAAATAAACACTGTAGATGATGTACACCCTCCCTCATGTAATAGGGACTCTTTCAATCTTCTGTAAATAAAGCAAACAGTGTAGGTATAATGGGGGATCTTAAATAAACACTGTAGATGATGTACACCCTCTTATGTAATAGGGACTCTTTCAATCTTCTGTAAATAAAGCAAACAGTGAAGGTATAATGGGGGATCTTAAATAAACACTGTAGATGATGTACACCCTCTCATGTAATAGGGACTCTTTCAATCTTCTGTAAATAAAGCAAACAGTGTAGGTATAATGGGGATCTTAAATAAACACTGTAGATGATGTACACCCTCTCATGTAATAGGGGACTCTTTTCAATCTTCTGTAAGTAAAGCAAAAGTGTAGGTATAATGGGGATCTTAAATAAACACTGTAGATGATGTACACCCTCTCATGTAATAGGGACTCTTTCAATCTTCCGTAAATAAAGCAAACAGTGTAGGTATAATGGGGGATCTTAAATAAACACTGTAGATGATGTACACCCTCTCATGTAATAGGGACTCTTTCAATCTTCTGTAAATAAAGCAAACAGTGTAGGTATAATGGGGGATCTTAAATAAACACTGTAGATGATGTACACCCTCTCATGTAATAGGGACTCTTTCAATCTTCTGTAAATAAAGCAAACAGTGTAGGTATAGGGGGATCTTAAATAAACACTGTAGATGATGTACACCTCTCATGTAATAGGGACTCTTTCAATCTTCTGTAAGTAAAACAAAAGTGTAGGTATAATGGGGGATCTTAAATAAACACTGTAGATGATGTACACC